TTTAAATAAAATTACTTATACATACACTGTATGTTACATACTTCACAGAATAATAAGAACAATATTATTAGGACTTTTGCAAAATTGTTATTCTTATACTAGACGTACAATGACGTAGGTACATTTAATGTTTATATATTTTATCGAATTTTCTATGGTTTTAAACGTATATAAAAGTGTTTCATTAAAAATCCTTCAGCTTAATTGTATTACATTTATCCGTATTATGTTTTACAACATTTAGTGGGCTCATGTTTGAAGCCTATTAATTGTTGCCAGTTATTAACCGGTACAAACATTAACCAATACACATCCTAAAAGATAATGAGTAGGCTTTTAAGGCAACGTATGACATATTTGATTAATGATTCCAAATAATTCCCTTAATAAAACACGTAATACAACAGGACCGTTACGAACCACAGTTTAGATGGATTTTTCTATGAGCGCAATTGACTTGCTTGGCCAAAAAAACATCGCGAATACGAACACAGAGCAAATATTTACGTGCGAAAAACATATCTATGAAACAGTAATGATATACAAAATCGTCGTCACAACTAAGCGTTGTTAAGGTACTTTTTGTCTAGTACTACCACAGCGTAAAACCAGCTGCCCAATTAAGTATTTCCGAACTTATTCGATTAGGTTCCTAAGACTGAACAAATTTTTAAAAGACCTGAATCGCTCTCGAGGACCTACTGTCTACCCTACCGTTTTCTATAAAAAAAGGTGCAGCTTTACATCAAAAGACACGAAAAAATGTGCGTTAATTGTAAAAGCATATTCATTCCATAACAAAAATAGTTCTAATACCAGCTCTATGGAACTAAGTACTTAAAGTCTGTATCGTTTAAAAAGAAATAACCCTATAAGCCAGTATTGTGTAAGAGCAATCGATCGTTGAGCCGGTCACGGGGTGAACACTGAACACGCTATCACTACATAAACTATAGTTTGCTTTACCTGGATTGAATTTATAACGATTTTTAACACGGAACTAATTTGTACGCGTCAGGTCGGACCGTCAATTATTACGTCGAATTTTAAATTCACTTTGACCATTTATTACTACGACGATGCTACGCAGTTTTGAGAACATATGTCCGATGTAGGAGTTGTTTTAACAATCTAACAACTGATATAGCCCTCAATTAAAATAAAGACATGATGGGTATGTTGCCACGCTGACCAAGTGCGGATTGGAGGACACATCGACTTTAGATTTTTTTTTATAGAACAGGGAGCAAACGGGCAGGAGGCTCATCTGATGTTAAGTGATACCGCCGCCCATGGACACTCTCAATGCCAGAGGGCTCGCGAGTGCGTTGCCGGCCTTTTAAGAATTGGTACGCTCTTTTCTTGAAGGACCCTAAGTCGAATTGGTTCGGAAATACTTCAGTGGGCAGCTGGTTCCACAGAGTGGCGGTGCGTGGCAAAAACTGCCTTGAAAAACGCTCAGTTGTGGAACGGCGGACGTCGAGGTGATACGGGTGGAATAACACGAACTAATATCTACACGAGCTTCCGTCCTGCCCTGCAGGCGATTGAACATCCTGCGACGGCCCAAGCTGAGGTCCGAGTCTCGCAGGAGACGCCCTTGCGCTAGTCGCGGGAAAAACGCCCATTCCGGCCGAGCTACGCTCGCCAAAACAGCCCGAGCTGAGCTGAAAGGCCCTTAAAGCCAATAGCGAGAATCCATTCCAAAAAAAAATACGATGTTCACCGCACGAGTGACATATACTTTGATGAAATGTAATTGTATATATTTTATGCAAAATCGATAAATATATCACGACATTAAACGTAACAGAACTACAAATCGCGATTGTATATCAAATCTACTATAATTTCAATTCAAATTTACTATATTATACAAGATATTAACAATTAGGAGTTTCCTTCAACGTCAATTAAAATAAGTGTAATATGATTTTAAAATATATTTCCATTTCCTCGAGCATCCATACCATTTCATTCAATATTTATAGCTGTTGAATACTAAACAAATAAGTGTCGATCCTTCGAGAATAAAGCGGCACTGAGACAACATTTCCACTTTTTATATAAAATACACTTCTGTTTCCGGTTCGGGTGTCTTTGGAATTATTTATTCAAAGGTACAGGCATAAATCTAGTTTAAATATTAACGTGTTTTCGATATGACAAATGTTGATGGGGCACCTATTAAATAGGCTATTTAAAGAAATGTTAAGGTAATAATAGTGTATCAGTATATAAAAAATGGTGTAACAATCTCGATTAGGCGATTACATATGCTCTAGTTTATTCATTTAACATAGACCTGCATTTGAATTTTAAAAAAATGTTTCAAAAGACAAAAGTCAAAAATCATTTATTCATGTAAGTAACACAATGTACACTTATCGTCAAAAATCATTTATTCATGTAAGTACCACAATGTACACTTATGCACGTCAAAAAAAGGTATTGCCGGTAGAAAATTTTGTCGGCTTTTTGAAATTTTATTTTAATTAAATCAAAACTAAATTTTATAGCACATCTAACCGTGACCCAATTTTTTCATATTATGAGGGTTACGCGCACAACCAACATATTACATATAAAATATATCTTACATGACCATACTGTTTGCTAAATGATTGGTTAAAAATTGCGTAAAAGAAGCTCTGAGGGGCTTCGGTGGTCGCTCTTGACTAAGCGGCCTAGGCATACGACCAACCAGGAATTGCTGCACGCAATTCTTTCTTCAATACATTTTCTAATGCCGTAAAATTCCCATAGAAATGTCACAGTACTCGCCATGTGTGACGATCACCATATGGATAGATTCTCACAACCTACCTATTCATAAAAAGCTTCGCTTTTAATAAGAAACTATAATACATTTGGTTAGTGAACGGAGCAAAGACAAGCCGAGAAATTCTACAAAAGAGTACAATTAATTGTACTGTAGTGCAATATAAATTCAACAGTAATGTGTGCTCCGACCGGGAATCGAACTCGAAACCATTAAAATCACGATTCCTGTACACCAGCTAAAAAGTAATATCAAAAACCAAACCCCTTAAAAATATGATTTTTAAAATTCAAAATCTTAAGGAATCGATGTCTTCATCAATTTTCTGAAGTAAAACACGGGCGGGGTGAATATATGAGTGTACATAAGAACGTTTAATCCACCCCGCCGTAATGGGACGTTATTTATCGCAAGGGGAAGCCAAATTATTATCCTTCGTCTTTCCGAATATTTTAGAACACGGATATTTTATTTTCAAGACGACTTTTCCGCGTTTAAATCGGCTTATATTTGACTTAAGGTAACGATAAGTTAGGTTATTATGATATAACTTGTAGATAAATAATTATTAGTATTTACTATGTGGCACAGGAGCAGAGAGATATTTTAGAGTATTTTTTTTATTACTTAAAATTTTTTGAATATATTTCTTATGTAACAATTCATATTTTGAGGGAGTGAGTTTTGTTATGATGAATCTTGTGTGAAAATACACTTAACAAATAAGTTGAATCCATGCAAAAGATTGCGTAAGAGGAAATTATGTTTTAATTATTGGTATTTTAAGCAAATTATTTTGTGTATTTAATTAAAAATGGAAATTTGAATTTATTAATGATAAAAAATTTGTTCAAAATCTATAGCATCACTTATTTAAGAGAAGGAAAAATTATTTCCATATTTTTTGTAAACTTTTCTTGCAAAATACTGTACTTACCCATTTCTTTTTTAATATGGAAATAAATAAAGTAACATAAAAATGGAGCATTGTAATACTGTAGCTTTAGTAGTTTCTTCGTTAAACAACATACAAGGATATTAAAATACAAATAATTCTTGTTTATTTAATTAGTGAAAAAAAAGGGCGTAGTTCTCTAAGAAAATTATTAAATTATTTTAGGTTATTTCTTAAAAAAAATCTAAATTCTAATATATAATTACAAAACAAAATAAAAACCTTACGTGATCCGCATATACTAAAAAATCAGTGAAATAGAAGCTTAAAGGTGCCATTGGGAATTCCATGAATCGCAATTTTTAATCTAATAAGTACTTACTATACGTCAATTTCTAGTATACAACGCTTAAAACTAGACTTTATTTCTCACGGGCTAAAAAGTATTAAGTAGTATAAAGTAGTACTTGATTTTTGTTTTCGAACTAATATAAGTTAGGAGAAAGTTCCAAGGTAAAATGAAAGAAGCAAATCTCCCGAGAATCGTTCAGAAACCGTTTCAAACAAGTGTATTTTAGTATTTATTGCTTTGGAAGCGAGGGTTTCAAAATTAGGGGGTTTTACGTAAAATGAAGTTGGAATTATTCGATTAATATATTAAGGTGTGGCTGTAAATTATATATTTTATATATTCTCCTTTAAGACGTCATCACGTGTATATGTATTTTGTCTATTTGCGATATAACGCTCGTAAAAAACTATACTAGCTGACCCGGCAAACGTTTGTTTTGGCATGTATACTATTTCTAGGAAACATTTAGTTCAATAAAAATAACTATCTACAATAATGAAAAATAAGAGTTGATCGTAGAGGGATGAAAATTAGGGGTTGTATGTTTTGTATGCTGTATCATAACAAAATAAAAACAAAAAAAAATCTAAAAATAAAAACATTTTTTGGGGTGACCAGTGAACACCCCTTATAACTTAGAAGTTTGAAAGATAGATATAGTAGCCGATTCTCAGACTTACTGAATATGAATATAAAATTTCATAAGAATCGGTCGAGCCGTTTCGGAGGAGTTTGGGAACGAATATTGTGACACGAGAATTTTATATATTAGATTATGAATGTATATTTGAAAGGAAATATAAATTTATAGCATTTAAATAAAAAAGGATTTAAGTTGACTTTTAATTAAGACCTCAAACTACGTGCCAATGAATATATATATATATATATATATATATATATATATATATATATACAATACCAAGGCAAATAACAATAGCAATTTTTTCCTTCAAACAATTTCCACTTACCAAAAACATCGATACACCCAATCTGCCAAGTCATAGTTGGCTGGGTATTTATCTGGCACATATAGCAGCCCCGGTCTTCCGCCCTTAGCGGCCTTATACGTAGCTGCCACGTCCTAGGTGGATCCAGGGTGACAGCGTAGCGAGACCCAAGAACCGCCCGCTCATGCATTGTCAGAACTGTCTGATCCTCCGCACGGAGCCATCCTACCTGGAAAAATTGTAATAAACTTAATTAACAATATTAACGTTTAACAATAAGCGTAAATGTCCCGTATTCTGTTACAGAGTCGCCTTACAGCCATTCCAAGACTGTGGCAAAGAATCAAAATAATGTAAGAGAAACTCCAAAACAACATCGGAGTACCAATTTATACTTCTTATGTTTAACAATTATGACAATAAAGATGATACTTCTGGGAAGCAGAGTTTGCCCCCTGTTAAATATTAAGCCGCTACTCGCGGGGTAATGTAGCTTGAATATATATATATATATATATATATATTTTTCATGGAATCTCGCTTAGCCTTGATAGAAGAGCTAAGGCTGTTTTGCGAGCGTAACTCTGCTTGAAAACGGGGTTTTCCTACGACCATTGCAAGGGCGTCTCCTCTGAGACTCAGACCTCGGCTTGGGACGTCGTAGGTGGAATACTTGTCAGAAAGGCAGGACGGAAGGTCACAGAAGTGATCGAAGTAAGGGACCTCACCTTGCCCGGTGAAGACGGTTTTTACCAAAATCTGAAGGCCGCTCGATGCTCAGTCCAGTGGCAGCGGACAATGTTGCTTTTTTAAATGAAATGTATATAATTTATGGAAACATTCCACAGAGTCAATATTTATAAATTAACCTGACAATAGTTTGGTAAAAATAATTGAAAATCTTAAGGTAAAAAGCTATCCCTACAGTAGAAAAATACATTAATGTAATCCTTGAGAATCGACCTCTATTAATATGCTATTATTATCCTTAACACAAATTTAAATTCGAAATTTCATTTCACGTATTATTATCAATTTCCAGTATTTAAAGTAATACTTAAACAATCATGCTAATAGCTTTGAAAAATTCTATAATTATAAATAATTCTTTAAAAAGTAACAAAAATTTTGTCAAATAAAATCACCGAGCATTAATCTTTTACAATTTATTTTCAAACCCACAAATAAAAATACAAGTACATTCACGTTGTTTCTCGATGTAGTATACTTAAACCGAGTTCATTACCCAGCAAATACAACAGAAGCGTCAAGAATGCTTGTAATATTGTGGGAACAAACAGTTGTGTATTGTACAGCTTTATACCTAGTGACACTGATAAAACATGGTTTCGGTTTTATTTAGGAAGCGACAGTTTAAATAAAATGTATGCTTTAACGTCGATATTCTTTTTTAAATAACTGTTGTAAAGGTTTTGAACACGTGTCAATCAATGTATGTTGCATAATGTCGCTGTAGAATGATAACCTCGTATGTCAAAAACCATTTGTTCTTAGACTCCTATGTCATTTTAACTGGTATAATTATGAAGTAAGGACTTATTTATGTTATTAATAATATCCATAAGTCAATTTTACCATCCATAACTATGGACAAAAACAAATAAAAATATTTTAACGAATATTGACGATTTTTTTTTGTTTCCTGTAATGTTTGGTTCTCTGGACATACGAGGTTGTCATTCTACAGCGACAATAAATGTTTTCTTTGAACTTAGATTACAGTATGTCTGCGTTAAACGACGAAGGGGGTTTGATTTCTGGGAAAACAGATTCAGGCTTTAAGCCTTACACGGCTTATCAACCTATACAGGCAGTATGAGTATTAAAGAATGAAAATAAATGAAACAAACACAAAAATATATCTGACCCATTTTTCATTGAGAAATTACGACTTTATTGACTGCGAGGCAGCAAATATTTTTATACTGGCTATATACGGCATTTTCAATTCATGCTTTTAAATTTAAAAGCCACACTGATTATAATTGCTTGATCATTTTAAAAGTGTCATTTTTCTTCCTCACCTTTGGCACAAGTAACGAATATAATAAGTTCACGTTCATCTGTATAGGACCATAAAAGATGCGTAATATATATGCGAATAAGCGATAGATAAACGATGTCTCGTGGTAGGGAGGTCTGCAACGGTAGGATTATAATACCGCATGCGATCACTCCACCGATCGTGCCCTAATCTGTGATGGATATGTATATTCCATTGTTGGACGACATACCCAAATTGTATGGTATCCAATATCAAACAAAACGTTTGGCATATTGTTTACTCCAAATTAATATGTGTATAACTGAGTATAGCTGTTAAACATATGACAAATATAAAAACGTAAATGTATTTATTTAACACTTCGTTTTGAGATAGCAATTATACAATTATTAAAATAAGGACTCAGATATAAAGAATAGAACAAAATAAAATATATAAAGACAACAAAAAAAACAAAGAAAAAGGACACACATCATGAAAAACAATTCAAACGAAATTGGTTCATCGTAAATACGTTGAATTACAGTGGTGTTTAATTGACTTTTACTTAAAAATTAAAATTAATTTTACGTATAATAATTATAAAATGAAGCGGCCAAATTGAGTAATCACCGCGTTATTATTTAATTAAAAATACATATGATCAAGCAGTCTGAAACTAAAGGGTACAATATTCAAGGCATTTTATGCGCGAATTAACACATGCTCGCACTGTGACAAAAATCATTACGGGGAGAAGAATATTGAGGAATGCAGGTCACTTAAAATAGATACGAGAAACCAGCGCACTAAGAGTTATGACCGAACGGACACCATACTAAAAAAGACCAGAAGCAGAACCCAAGATGGATAGAAAAGATTTTACAAGCTGAAGTAAGGTCGCCAGTGAAGGTTATGTTTTATAAGGGCGTGAAGCGCAACTGAATGTATTGGATTACGGTATGTTAGTAGTAGAAATATAAGATAGAGGCTCAGAACTGTTTCCCTTAACTAGAAATTAAAATTAATAACAAAGTATCTACTCTACAAAAATATTGACTATTAAACATTTTCAGGTTCATAAAAGACTTAAATTTATTGTATTATGATGGTTCGAGACTTGAGACACTTCAAAGTTAAAATATATACATAAATTTCAAATCTAAATCAAGTTAAGTGTATAAAGAATCTCTAAGAGCTTTTAAATCTTTTCAAGTTCAAATTAGATCGAAACAAATTCAGTAAAGATTATTATAGGAATTTATAATATTTCATTGCGTTAGTTGGTTTCACAATGCGTCAGAGTAGCTTAGTTTGATTTCTGGTGAAAATATATCAGAGCCCTCTGAATCTTCCAATAGTTAACGTCAGGGAACACTTCAGCAATCGCTACGAATATTGAGAGAACTTCATCGAACTTGCATACAAAAATATCGGGATCCGTTTCGCGACTGCTAATGGACTTACAAAGGGCGCTGATTCTAGAATCAGAAGTATCTTGATACGCTGAAGTTAGCGTATTAAACGTCCGTTTTAGTCTTAAGAAATAACAATGTTTTGTCCGCTAAAACCCGGGTCTAGTGCCCATGACGAATAAGTACCGCGACATGGACGTGGCAAGATCATTTGTTTTTTTTCTAATAGAAAATTGGTTTTGAAACAAAATAAAAATAATAACATTACATTACACAGTTTTCTAGAAAATACCATTTTTCAATCAAATCCGTCACTTTACCGACTGTTTAATTTGAAATTTAAAACATATGGATTTTTTAATGTAGCCGTAACATCAAGTCAATGTGGTATCCAAATATGATAAAAAGTGGATTTTGGATTTTTTCAAATCCGACATTGTTCTACGATCATGACGATATATACATCCAATAATTCTGTATTCAACGAAGTGTTAATAAATAAATAAATATATGAAGATGAGAATTTTCTTACTTTGTGTTTAGCTAGGTTAAGAACTGAGCACCCGAGTACTGCCTCTCGGCCCAGGAAAAAGGTATGGTTGCCAATAGGATACTCGAATTCAGGTTCTTCTGTAAATTTCTTCGTTGTGTGAGAATCTGGAATGAAAAAAACATGATTACACTTTGTATTAAAAAAGCTAGTAGAGTATTGATACCTCGACGGGTAAGATTCTAGATTCTAGAAGCTCGCATACCGGAAGTGGTGTTCGCGCGTGTTTAGTAATGGACCTATATACAATTTCTGCCAAATTATTGAGGATTATATACGATTTAATGATAAACATTTCAAGTTATTGCAATAATATTCGTGTAATACATTAACATATCCGTGTTAATAATCAAATATAAATAAGATAATAGCGAGACGCTATTGAAGTTTACTATATCGTTAATAATCTCGCTATTCATATTTTAAGCAACTTCATGGCGTGTCAAGCTCACTATCAGTACAGTCAACTTCTAACCACACCCAAACCTCGCCCGAATGAACAGGTAAGGGCTATAACACTTGAGCGACTCCAGTATGGATATATACATGTTACTTATGGATATATGTATATATATGTACATTATAGTAACGTAAAAATATTCAAATGCTCAAATACATTTTTGTGATATTATAGTAGTAATACTTAGCGCCTACTGATGTCCTAAAGCATATTGAATCGTAAAAGTAAATTTCAAATAAACTTTTTAATTACAGTAATTATAAAGCTCATTAGATAAAGGTTAGAATCATAAAGGATAGAAAGTAATTTTTTCGTTCAAAAAATTTAAATAAATGTGAACAAAGTTCATCTATATTTTGCAATGCAACTTGGATTTTATATCATGATTCCCACAAATGAAAAGCTAAGGAAGAATCTAAAATTGCCCTCGTTTGATAATGTTTAAAATGCATTATTATTAGACAACTTACAATAACATGACAGAATCTAGCCGCTATAACGTTTCTTTGTCTCTCTTAATGTAAATAAGTTTCTCTATGATAAAATTGTTTTTTTAAATATACCTGATACCCAAATTAATATTAAAAATTACTTGAAAGCTTGCCTAAAAGTAGCATGAAATCTAATACGTATTTGTAGAAAAATCTTTATCAAGTAAAATATCATTTTATCGTTGCACCATAAATAAACTTTTACTCCTACCCAAAAATTAAAGTTAAAACTATCTCAAATTAAACCAAGCTAATACGCTATAATCTAGCAAACTGCATTAAACTTCCAAGGAACTATTTAAGCCTTGCAATTAAGGCCTTTATTACTTTAGTCATAGGAGTCAAACTCGCATAGATGTTAACTTGGTTCTACCCCTTTGTTACCGGGAAGTTTTAGTTTGAGACTTGAGTTTGTACTATATTGAAATATACTTATTTCAAGATGCTTTGTGTTTCGGCTTAGGTATTGATAGTTGAGAGTTTGCGATATAAGCAGTGTTCTTAATTTAAATAAGCTATAAAACTTCTTTGATGTAATAATTCCAAGCTAATATTATAAAGAGGAAAATTCTTATTCTATCTTAGCATTGAAAATACTCCAAAACTGGACCGATTTGGTTTGATTGATTTTGTGCTATGTTGCACGATATATATTTTCATAATAAGGAAAACTGTTCACTTATTCAGCCAAAGTATAATGATAAAAATAACTAAATCAGTGGCGCTACTTATTAGGTCCCGGCCTCATATTCCTGTATCTGTTTCATGATCATTTGTTAATCAATAGGCAAGTAGGTGATCAGCATCCTATGTGTGACAGGTCGTCGGCTTTTTGGGTCTAAGGCAAGCCTGATTCCTTAGCATGTTTTCCTTTACCATTCGAGCGAATGTTAAATGCGCACATAGGATAGTCCATTGGGGCACAGCCGAGGAACGAACCTACGACCTCAGGGATGAGAGTCGCACGCTGAAGCTACTAGGCAAACGCTGCTCTTCACTAAATAAATATCCGAAACATTTCAAAAGCCAAAAGAATATGACGAAAAAATCATATTTTTCTACGGCTTTGCAGACTTTTTCAGAATCCTAAAAGGCTTGAGGATTAAGATGATTAAGGCGCTTTCATAACTCTTATTTTTTTAAGTACCTTGGCCGAGGAAAGGAAATACGTTTGCAAAAGATTATTGATAACGTTTCGTTAGGTTTTTCCTTTACAAAATAGCAACATTTTCTTGTCTATTGGTGGTTTTCATCCCTAGAATAGGTACCTTTTAAATACATTATTTTAAATCAATATTATCAAGACTGTATGTAACACGGTAAAGGCTTTGTGACATTGTGCATACACAAATGCATCTTAAATTGCATTTGGGGTCTTTACACTTTCACCTAGTTTTTTTGAACCTCCACCAAGTAAACGATATAAACCTTTGTCCAGTAACTCATAAATAGATGTCGTTAAAATCAGCAATAACTGTAGTTTGGAACGTTATCATAAACAGTAAAAGTGAGTAGACCATAAAGCACCGAAGCGTCCGTATAACTTTTATTTGAAGGTTAAATTATTTCCTACCATTTCTGTGATGTAAGACTTCAAAATATATTAGGATACACGTATAAATAAAGTAAATTACACAATCTAAGCTGACAGACGGCTTTGAATTTAGCACGACGTTGAAAACGGGTCAAGTTAACATAATCGTGAAAGTTTCACCACAATTTCCACTCCAAAGGGGACGCAAAACGTTCTGGAACTTATTTAATGAAAAACCTTATTTAGGAAAATGAGATTTTTCTGTTTAATCTACCAACTTGTCGCATAAACACTTCGTTTATTCAATTTTGTTTTTTTTTACTAAGGGTGTAAAATGCTGTAACTTTTAATTGTATGTGTACACTGTACTTTAATCTAAAAGATTTACGATGTTTTGTAAATATTCTGACGCATTTTTTAAAATAAGAACTAGAATTTAAAAATCACATTTTCTAGTCGAGTAAAAGATTGAATTCGAAATCGATTTGTGACCATTTCGAATAGTAGATTCGCATTAGCATTCCGTGGCAGGTGCGAGCCGCCCCAAACTCGTATATTGCGTTTTTCACCGAGGCCGCTTTCAAATTATTGAGGAAAACGTGTGAAAAGTGTTTTATCGCGAAGGCTGTGACCGGTCGACCGGGAAAAGAAGTTGTGTTTTGTTTTAAGTAATGTTCCGTATAAACACGATTGTGTGGTCGTTGGAGCTTTAAATTTGTGGGTTTCAATTCGAAAAGGCTAAATGGGTTCGGGGTTTTCTTTAGATCTTTAATAATCCCCTAGCTACTGTATTCATATACGTACTTGCTAATTCCTACATATATTTTCATACCGTATTGTTT